CCCTGTATAAAAATATAATTAAAGGTAGTTATTCGAGCAATTGAGCTCTTATAATGCAGGTTCTTGCTAAAGCGCACGCACATCTCCTGATAAGGATTTAAACTTTCTATTTGGTAGGCCTTCTAAAGATGATATGTATGGATCCGACGACGCAAGTAGTACGTGAAGTAGATCAGTATTAGCTGCCACTCTAGAAAATTTTCTGGTATTGTGTTCTCTGATATTTTTAAAGTCTTTATTGCGCGACTCCTGTGCCTCTTCAGACAATTGTCCAATGGGTAGTGGTGCATCCCTTATTACCATAGCTCCGTGAATAAGAACTTTGTGTACGGAAGGTGGCATAGGATACCATCCGTATTTATCAACACATAGTCTTGCGGTGTCAATTGCATATTTTTTAAATGCGTCAGAGTTAATCGCAAATCCACTGGACATTGTTTGCAGAATTATTCCGCAACGAGTAATCAATACCGGATCAATACCTGTAATGTCAGATGATATTGCGGCATCTTGAAAAAATCTGCGGGCCGTATTTCCGTCGTTGGTAGTTCCACTACCTCCTGCTTTAGGGATGTCAATAAGGAGTCCTAATTGCGATTTAAATTTTTGCTGTATACATTTTTCAGTCTCTGCCAAACTAACTTTTTCCGTTTCTGCTCGTGCCTGCCATTTCTGAAATTTTAAACGGTATGATACGTGTAAAAAATATTCAAAAAATCGTATCCATGAATGTAGTGTGGACAATCCAAATCGAAGGGTAGAGGTATTAACCGCTCTTTTTAAAGCCTTATCTATATCGTTCATCATTTTCGGAGTTGAGCCACATATATAACATGTTTGTGATGATGTTGAGGTAATAGCATTGCAAACTTTGCCGTCGATCATGGTTAAAACCATTTTATGAGAGATACTGACATTTCCGATTGCACATTTTACTTCTGAAGGAAGAAGGTTATCAATTTGCGACTGTATGTGCGCGATCTCTTTTGTAGAAATGTCAGTCGATTCTTTGATGAATCTAAACCTGACAGGCCGGCAAAATCTCGTTGACGATGGCCGCGAATTTTTCCAAACAACAATATTTTTGAATTGGGGATCCGAGGTTTCAACATGCAATTCTAATGGTACTAATGACGTTAGAAAAAGGTCGCTATCACTAAAATGTTCGATGTCTTTATTATTAAGTTTCTGTTTGTATTGGGATTGACCTGAACTTCCATCAAAACCCCATTTCGAAATTAAAACAAAATTTCGTAAAGCATTTGGAAGCGTATTAAGGACAGGTTCACTAATAGTTATTATACGACTTGCTGTATGATCGAGCAAAGCTTGTAATGCCACTTCTGCACCCTGATCATCAATTTTTATAAATATCTCAGGGGGTTAGCACTTGGCTTTTGCATTAATTATATGTCTGTAAGGCGGATATAAATTAACACCTCTTTTCTTTGCATCAAGTCTGATTTTCATGTAGTCGTCCTTCGTTAATTTCCGGCCTATGATCATGGCTAGCGCTTCATCGGCTGTATAAGAAGTAATAACATTACGTGCGACTAAATTCTGATCGGTTTGAGATTGCACTGTATACAATTGTTTCACAATATTTGCATTTACGTGATTTCCTTCAGATCGTAATTTCATCTGTGTCGCATACATTAATTCTATCGTAGGCGTAGATTTTCTTAATTCGTTCGTTTTTCTACGTTTTGAGCGATTGGATGAACACGTAAAATTTTTAACAGGACGACCGAAGTTTGATGCTCCACCACTTACATCATTGTGTGCTGATGTACCTGCAGAAATTTGAAATCTAACTTTTTCTTCAAGCCATTTTGAGTTTTCTTTCAAAAACTTTTCAGTATTTCGACAAACCTTTTCATATTTTGAAAATACTTTAATGCAAAAAAGTGTCATCTCTCTTTTTACAGATTTTATCATCTCTTCCTTATTCTCGATACCCAATTTATGGATAATATAGTTTTGTAAATGTTTTTGCAGGCGAACATATAACACAATGTGGAATCGGTGCAGAATCATTACGTCATGAAAATGCCAGTCCTGATCCACTCAGCGCATCAGATAGTGTTATGAACACCTCGTGTATGGAAACACCCAAAAGTCACATTCAAAGGTAAGAATTGCAACATGGTGTCAGTAATATTGAAAATAATATTGGATTATGGACGACAGATAGTAATGTCTTTTTATGTTTTTGTAGAAAATCATGGGTGGATAAAAAGAAAATTTCTGAAACGCCACAAAGCACATCTGATGCGTTACACAAATGTTATAACACTTTTCCAAGAAGGTATATTTATAATTTCTAAAATGTAGTCAATTCTTTATTATGTTGCACTAAATATCTATTAAATATCTATTAAAAATTTTTTAGAACTACTAACTATTCATATTTTTTTACAGATCACAAAGGGTAAAATATTTGCATAGTTCTCGCAGTATTGTGAAGTCGATTTATACGCAAATGGAGAAACAACATGTTAAAGCTCTTCTACTAAAAAATCGGAAAATTCCATCAAAAAAAGTACTGGATGAATATCAGAGTGAGGAGGACACTTCTTCATGCATTCGTAAACAACGGTACGTTTATTGACTTTTCATGTATATTCTAGTACAAAAATGTCTAGCAATTGTCAAAATTTTTTAATTTTTCGTGAATACAGAACATAATTAACTAGTTTTTGTTTTCTTTATTATTCTTCGGTATTATTAAAAAATATTAATGCTTATACATAAAATACACATTTAGAACAGATACATTGTCAGTGCATGTTTAAGTGTTTTTTAAAAAACATTACGTTCTTTCAGATTTATGATGGAGAATTGTAATAATATTACCGATAACACCCATAAATCAAGACAAAATGAGGATCTTAACATATCAGTGAAGTTGCTGAACGTTGAATTGGAACATCATCGATCTCTCAATAAATTTCATCTACAATGCAGATACAATAATTTGAATGAAAAAATAGAGATTGAAAATGTGTAATTGTGAATTATTATTATCTTCACTATCCTCCTTTGCGATTATCCTTTATCATCCTTCATATACAGGGTGATTCAGAACAACCACTTGTCCTTAAAATGTCGTATTCTAAACTTAATTCTGAAATGATTTGTCCTCCT